TGTTTGAGGAAGTTATTGTACTTGAATGCTTGAGTTTTAAATAAATAAGACCCATTTTCCTTATATGTTGTTTCTATTAATATAATCAGTAAGCATCACTTAACATGCTGTTAATGAGAGCAAGCCAGTATATTTTTGAAGGATGTAAAATATTGTCTGGCTCCCTGGACATGGCCACTTTGGTTTTCTTAATGTGATTACCATGTAAATATAATGACGTCAGAAAATTTTTGGACCGAGGTGGAGTCGCAGAAGGATACGCTGCATTATTAGGAAATAAGAGAAATCTCCTTTCATAATCTTCTTTTTCAACATGGAGAAGCCTTTATTGATTTAGCAGAGATTCCTTCAAGGTCCATTGTGATTAAAGTTTTCTGAACTGAAGCAGGCCTTTTAGACATTACGTATGGACACTGAATCATCAGCTTTACTACCCACTGACTGACATAACGTCCTTCAAGTAATGAAGGCTACATGCATACAAACCTGTATGTGCATGAGCTTATTCCTGGAGGTACAGTCAAGCTCGTACACTTTTGCCTGATGTCAAGCATAACACTGTTCCAGTAATGGTTACAAACCTCATGCACAGTCACAGAAGTCTGCTCTTTGTACTGTGACATCAGGATAACACGATCACAGGACAGAGGTACACCACAACATTTAAGAGTCATATTTGGCCTTAGTGGTTATGGCCATCTCTTGCAGTGTCCCATGATCTGCTAAAAGTGGGGAGTCAGCATTCCTTAAATAACCATAGCACTGGCTGACCAGCGTCAAGCAACTAAATCTCCACCCAGTCTCCATTACTTCCCAATCCCGCAGGGGTCAAAACAGGGGTGGATGGCAGCTAAGCACAAGAGAAAAATGACTTGGTGTAAACAGACCTCCTTAAGTGAAGCCTAGAGTCTGTCACCACAACTACTTAAATGTGCATTAACTACAATTCTACACAATGAAAATGTAACAGGACATGGGGCCTCTCTGTTATACTTCTATACTACATTTATGAGCAGCTTATGGGTTTGTTCTGAGTCTCACTGAACCCTGTAATAGCTGAAAAGAAATTAGGTAGAGCTGCTTTAACTAAGAATTTATCTTCATCTGCAAAAACAAAATAAATACCTCCTGCATCTACATTTTTACTTTTTTTTTCAGTAAATGAAGTTATAATCTGGAGAGCGTTCAGTCAATGCATTATTCCAAACTAACGAACTGAAGTATTTCATAGCTTTGAGTGCATGTACACTTGTCAGCTCTCCATCCATGGCGTACTTATTGCTGCCTTGTTTAGCTGGCCCTGGCATTACTTTACATATACAACATGAAGTATCTTGTCTGTCACCAAACCTTCATCTTATTATTGAAAGAAAAAAAAAGCAGGATTAAAAAAAAAAAAACAACATGAAAATTGACAGCCACCGGATGGGTGCCACCGCTGTGACATACGCTCTTAAGAATGTAATAGTCATACTCCCTGCTTATAACCACCTCATCACAACAACAACAAAAAAAATCTCACCATTGTAATAATACTCCAGTGCCAGCAAACACGTTTTCTTGTCACTTCACAGGGAATGTTCATAGGACTGCCTATGAATGCCCATTTCAAACTGAGGCAAGATTAGTATTTTTTGCTTCTGTACAGTGCTTATGCTTTTATTTTTGTAGATACTGAGATTTTTTTTTTTTAAACAGGTGGGTCCCATAATAAAGAAAATAAACTGTGATTACTGCCAATTAAACTATGCTGCAACAACTGTCATTCAAGGATGCAATTATAAACTTTTATCTGCACAAACCCTACAGCTTGATGACGCTTAAGTAGCCTTAATCATGTCACAGTGGGTAAAAAAAGAAAGAGCGAGTCTTTGGGCTGCCGCTCCCGCAGCGGGAGCTCCAGTTCACTCTGTCCTCAGAGGTAGTAACAGTGGAACCAAGTGACAGTCACATCCCATACAGGAAGCAGTCACTGAACTAGCGCTACCTAATGACTACTGTTGCACAATGTGCTTAAGAAACATGCAAAGCATCTTAGTACAGTAACACTGGCTCTGAATCAACTAACTTTGCATTTGGGCCAACATTTAACATTTAGTTCACACAAGCCTGTATTTGTTATCTCTTATAATGTAGCAGAATGTAGTGAGTGTTCCTGATGGGCATATTTTTGTTGCTAGCTAGGGTCTACAATTTATTAAAAGTTGTTGCACTGTACTGTATACTAGCTCGGAACAGCCTGGATTCTGGCAACCTAATGAAAATAAGTGCCTAACAGAGTTGCCATACTTGCCCAAAAGAAATAGCACAACAGGGGTCACAAACATTGCTGATTTTAACTTGTGCCTGGAATGAATTTAACTCTGTGATGATTTTATTTTACTTAAATTTTTTTGAGGTTCTTATTTAATGAGGGTTTTAGATTAGTCACTTTCATGATTGTAATGTACTATGGGTATATGGTAATGCATTGTTTTAGCTAGCTCTATGGAGATGTACTATGATGTGAAGCTTGCCATTGTGAACCCAGAATACATTTCCAAAGCAGGATTAAGAACTTAATCTATCCATCTATCTATCTATCTATCTATCTATCACCAGCATTTTCTAATTACATCCTTGACTGTGACACAACTTTTACACTGAAAGGTGTGTATCAATCTGGAGCTCTCTTCCTCTGCTTTCACCGAGTTTCACCCAGCTGATGTTGGGTGCCAGCCAGTGTTTGAATTATGAAGAAGCCAGAGGGGCACAGCTCCCCTAAAAGACACCCAAGCTACACTGAAAGCAAAACAAGTTCAAGTTTTGGTTGGTAGTGTTCATGATAATAATTATCCTCTATTTTTATTAATACATTACATTCCTTCTACTACAATGGTTATTAGAAAGATAAATGGACTAAATGTCCAGCAGGGTACAAGAGTTGCTGATCTAAGTTAGTCTGGACAGAATATTGCACATAGACTGAATCTCTCAAGTGATCACTCTTTTTTAATTAGCATAAATCTTTCAAATATTTTCATTTCCAAATGTGAAAACAGAAAAATCCTAACACAAACAAATAATAAACCCATAATGATTCAATTCAACATGTAACAAGCGTGAGAGATGTCTCACCACTTTTATTTTATTTCAGTGTAACCCTAAAAAGATAGCTTTTGTTAATCTGTCTGTAGAAGGACTTGATACATTTGTACTGCTCACTGATCATATTATTTGCCTTTAATTGGTGCCTTTGAATTTTGATACTCTGCTTTTAAACATGCATGGAATACTTCCTGTACCTCTCACACTACTTTGTCCATGTCAGTGTTGAATTTGTGCAAAGCGATGTAGGGTAGGTTGGGTACATTTTCTATTCAAGGCTAAATTTGGCATAATGGCCAAAAAGTGAAACGGCTATCCTGAATCATCAGCAATGCAGGACGAGTGCAGCAACATAAATTCTTCTGGCTACAAGCTTCATCCATCCATCTTTGTCCACTTTATCCGAGACCGCAGGGGGCAGTAGTCCGAGCAGAGCCTCCCAGACTTCTCTCTCCCCACACACCTTCTGTAGCTCCTCGGGACGAACCCCAAGGCGTTCCCAGGCCAGCTGGGAGACACAGTCTCTCCAACATGTCCTGGGTCTGCCCCGAGGCTTTCTCCCAAAATACCTCCCTAGGGAGGTGTCCAGGGGGCATCCTGAACAGGTGCCTGAGCCACCTCAACTGGTTCCACTCAATGTGGAGGAGCAGTGGCTCTACTCCGAGCTCCTGCAAGCTTCATTTTCAATCAAAAAAAAAAATTGCTAAAATGTCAGTAATGTGCACTCACCAGAAAGCGAGAAAACTCTCCCTCTCTAAACAACAAAAGGCCCTTTGAAACCTTAGAGAGATCAAATTCTTTGCCTACTTTAGTACTGGAGCTGCAATTACAAAATCTAACAGAGCCGAGGAAGTTCCCGGCATTGACAATGTGTCACACACTGGTTTAATGAACACACCTCCAACAATTAGAAATTACCTGTTACAATTTTATTGTTCTGGCTTGTCAGCTGCAGTCCTGCTGTTCCCCAGCCACTGACGCAGGAGATAAGGCCCTTCGTCCTGGCCTGTCAGGTTTTCCCTGTCAAATATTTATAGAAGCTGAAACGTTAGATGGCCATCACTTCTAGCTCTCTACACAAGAAGCCAAACAAGCAGTAGCAGCAGAGCCATTTCTCAGCCTCTCATTTAAAACTAGTCCTGACAAGAATTGCGTTGCTGAATCTTCTCAAGCTGTACACTGAACATGAGTCTTCAGTGGCTGTGAGGGGGTTGGGAAAACACTGGCCATCTTTCGCATGAATTCTGGGTACTTTTCCAAATTATTCACCATGTTGTCATTAGACACCCAACGAAGGCAACGCTCTCCTTTAACTGAAAGATCATAGAACAACATGGGTCTCATGTAGCCAGCGGCGGCTATGGCCTTTATGTGTGAGCAGTTTAACCAGCAAGGTTGGTCAGACTTTGACAGCCTAAACTTTCTGGAAACATCTGTACACACAACAGAGGTCTCTCCATATTTTTAGACAACATTTTTGTATATTATTACAGACAATGTGGTAAGGCAAGTTTTCAACAAGTTAAACCGCTGAGCCGACTAGTTAACACAAAAAAAACCTAAAACAATGTGACAGAACTATAGAGGTTCATTATCCAGTAGCATGAGCATGTTAAATGATCAAGTGTTCAACAGTCGAGTGTAGCGGGTCTGGGTGTAGCTACAAAACGCTGACACGCTGCCTAACATCCAACCTCGGTCAGCCTGGCTAGGCGAAAGCTGGTGGCACCGATACTAGACACTTACCAACCTAAACTAGCCATTCATTCTCAACCAGCCTGCTGTAGCTGTTTATCGCAGCTTGAAAGCAGCAGCAGACAGAGTGGGGACTGACCTCACTCAGCCTGTCACGGCCACCCGAACAGATTTCAAACGCAAATCAAAATGTCATGGTACCGAAAAGGGTCATTTACCTTGCTGCTCTGATAGCCTTCAAACGCCTTCAATGCGCTATCAGTGAGTTTAACGTGAAACACGGAGACATTGCTACCATTGCTCACTCTTCCACAGGACAGTCCGTAGCACTGCTCCTCCTTCAACGCCGCCATCTTGCTACCGTTCCCACCATGCGCACGGACACTCTGTGGTAAACCAAGAACTCCCGTTGCCTTTCAATGAATATTCAATGGCCGGTCACTGATGATGCCGTCACTGATCCGTAATATAGTCACACGTTTTAAACTAAATTACATTTAATTTTTAGAGTAAAAATTCTAAGGCAATATTAGACATTAAAATGACTGATGAGCAGTCAGTGTGCTATTAATCATCGGGTTTTACTTCATTTAATTCGCAGACGTGAATGAATTAGAATCAATTTATGTTTATGACACTCTTTTTGTAACTACGTGTTGTAGTTAATTAATGAAAATATATACATTGCTAAGCATTTATCTAGAAATGAGCATTACACATAAGTAATGCGTAGGAAGAGGGAAAGGACAGGTCATCCGATTACGTCATTAAAACGTCAACGTATCAAAAAAAAAAACTGGGAATATCCAGCTGTAATAAGACATCAAAAAATCCGTCTTTTCAGATTTTTGCAGGATTTATAACGGACGCTGTCTAAAACAGACATCACCAAGCAATCATGGTTCTGTTCTAAAAAACATAAAGCATGATGCAAAACAGAAGCACTTGAAATCACTCCAGAAATGGAAATACTTGAAAATCATACTGTCACCAATGCTTAGAAAAAAATAAAAGATACTAAAAGGAAACAGTAGTTTCATTACAGACGATTTTTATTCTGATAAATATAAAATCAATAAATGCATGGAATGCCAGGAACTTGAATGACCACTTTGTTTGGCTCTGTAGAAGTACTCTGAAGTCACAGATTCACTGGTGTCATGTTTATTACAGGTAAGAAAGCAAAGAACAAAAATAATGTAACAAACACCTAAAACTACACAAGCAAAAGATGAAAAAGTGTAGTTGAAGGGGTCATCCTTCAACATTTGGTCTTAATCATCAAAAATGGAGGTATAACTGACTGAAACTGGATAATGCACTTTCCTCCAGCATTTTACGGTCACATCACTGAGAAATCCTACCAACTCTCTGCCCTTCTTTTAAATGTAATAATTGCAATTTTAGAGGCTGTCATTTGCCACTTTAACTGTATGATGTTGTGAGATATTTTGAAATTTTGCTCATCACTGTATGTTAATGAGATGGGTGAAATTTGAAACACCTGGCTACATATCATCACCACAAACCTCAGCCTAAATATACATCACAACTGGGTCAATTGAAACTGAAAAGTTTAAGCACGGTAGTACAACTAGCAGAAATGTTGTACTGCATTGCATTATACAGGTGTTTTTTTCTGGTTAGTGTATGAGTGGAGTCTTCAGAGAGGGTGAGAGAGCTAGCATACACACGAAGCATCTTGCTATCTTTAGAGCCTCAAATAATAGAGCATCTGCACTGCACCAGTTGACATCAAACATTACTATAACAAAGTAAAATCACATTCTCTCTCAAATATAATCATTAATTAACTGCACAATCTGATGCTTTAAATCTATGGCAGAACACAGGATCGTATCGCATATCTTTAATGGGAAAAATATTTTTGAATAGCTCCTGTCTGAAGCAAGAGTGAATTATTTTTCAATGCTCAAATAATCTATTTCCAACATCAAGTTCCAAAATCAAAAACAATGGCAGCAAAGCATAAATCTACACATTTATAAGATTGGAAATGCATTTACACAGATAATATTTAATTTTTTTGTCACAAATACTTCTCAGACATAGCAGAGAAAGGAGAGTGCGGCAACTGACCAACTGACATTTCCACCCCCATTGACCAATGGTCAGAAGGCACTGCCAGATGTGCTTCTGTGTTTAGGTTCTCACATTGCAGAGACTCGGTCAGGCCATCACTACAGGATTGGTTCAATTTCTAGCAGCTATGACAACAGATAATGCTACACCACCGATGGCTACTGCAGTAGCACCGAACAACCACTTCCAGCTGAGACCCTGGGGAAATAAAGGAACAAAAGAAAAGAAGGTGCATGTTAAGTAGTAAATACACTGAATTATTAAATGGTGAGTAAGATGTTCATCCCTGTTTAGTGTCACACAACAGTTCCATTGAGGATTTCATAAGCCCCTTTTCCATCGGTGGTACCGGCTCAACTTGACTCCACTCTGCTCAGTTTGGCAAATAGTACTTTGGTTCAGACGGAAAGACAACTCTGGTTGCTCAAAGGCGACGCAAGAGGGTAAGTTGCGCAATTTCTCTGACCAATCACTAGCTTCCAGTGTTTACATGTCACCGTTTGAAATCACTTCAGCCGCTTGGAACCTTGACGGAGGTGATACCAAAAAGGGTACCAAGTACTATCCCCATAATCTGAGTGATGGAAACACAAATAAGGTGAGTCGAGCTGAACTGAGCCAGTATCAGGTGGTGGAAAAGGGACTTTATATACACAACATTCTCTGTTATATTCTTATATATTTTTATTATACTGCTGCTTAAAGTGCCTTAGATTTTGTGTTACTTATTTATCTACTTTATATTTCATTTGTATTTTGTGGCATTCATGTGGACGGCAAAGTAAGAATTTCATTGTACAGGGAAACACATTTCCTAACTGTGCATATGACAAATAAACACTTTGAACATGAACATCACTCCAAAAGAATTAATGAAAGACCATGAGTATCATGGGATGATGGCCAGAGATTCAAGCTGCATCTCATCCTAAAAACTGAACTCTTTAACACTTTTGTTTTCTCAGTGAATGACCGTCTCACCCATGAAGACTTGGCCCGGTGCTTCTGTGTGCTGCTGCTACTAGTGGGATTACCCAGCATCTTCTTGTACATGGCCTGCTCTGCTCCTCTCTGCTCTGAGTGCTTCTTCACCAGCTTGGAGAGCTCTGTGTGGATAGTCTAATCAGGGGTGACAAGACAAACAGGTGTTGCAGGCTACAGTCCAGCACCCCAACCATGCTCTACTCACCAAATTGAGCCATCACAGTATGCAAGAAATAAAGTCTTATATAACAACTCAAGACTCTATTAACAGTAATGTGTCAGGATGACAACACCCTCACAACAGATACAGTGATCTGGAAAATATGAATAAATGACATCATAAGGCTGATAATAGGAATAAAATATCATTTTTATATGATCATGATGATGGATGAACACTTACATAAATAAAGGCTAGAAAAAATGTTTATACTGCTCTTTGTTGTTCTAAAGAAATCACAGGCTTACATCACTAAATTAGCTTGCCATTTAGCCCACATGTCCACACCATTATTCCAGGCTATGGGTTCAGTTATTGTTCCAATATTATTCTCTCAGATCTGAGTCACTTCACTGCTCTAAAAACTGGTGAGTAACTGAGCAAAACATTGCTTTCAGAGACAACAAAAATGTGTGTGCCTTGTGCTTCAGCGAGACTGATGAAACACTGTTACACTGAGTTTATAGCAATATTGATGCAAAAGTCATTTCGTATTTGAGTGCAGTCTATCTTTGAATACATTTGTGACCAGTGACGAGTCAGTACCCTAAGGACTTGTCCATTACTGCTGAGTAAGCCAATATGGTCACAGCACAGTGTTTGAGCAGAGCAACCTCAGCAAGTTGGTACTACTGTTGTGTAAGGTCGTTTAGCATCCTATATTAAAACTGTGCTGTGGCAGTTTGATGCCGTCTATACTGGACCTGTCTGCATGTCATGTCAAAAAATATACATATGACAGATGACAAATTTCTTCTTATGCATATGAGTCGAAGATAAATAAATAAATGAATAATGCAGACAGCATGTCTGTCCAATCTTGGAGACAAGAGATACAGCGCATCATCTTGTCACTTCATAATGCCTGTGCCTCTTAAAGACTGCCTCATTCATTGTATTGGAACTGTTCTTGTACTGTCACTGTTGCCCACCCATGATATTTACTGTTAGAACATGGGGATATTTATAGAGTCTTTTCATTATTGAAGCACTAAGAGGCAAGTAGGTTTTACCATTAAAACAACAAATCTAGCACTGAATTAGAAATATGTTAACATACAGACATCACTGCAGAGATACACAAAGATGACAGTTCGGAACTGGCACAACTCTGCCAGGCAAAAGTGCATGCCATGTGCAACATGCATCTTTGTCCTTAACATACTGTATGCTAAAAATTCCCAAATACACGGGTCCATTACCTTAGCAATCCACCAAAGACATGCCATTATAAAATGTAACAGCACATTATTTAGGTACATATTTACGCTGCATGTTCTGGATGAAAAGTGGTGGCCAGGCCGTGTGCTGTTTGACAGATTGGTGTAG